AAAAATTTTGTTTCGGTTTGAATTTAGATTATTTTTCTCACCCCTTTGCCAGATAATTTAGCTTTTTTAAGCATCAACTCACTTGATTTTGATTAATTCTCCAGAAAACAGGACATAATATCTCATCTCATTTTACTCATCTAGTAAATGCATCTTGATTTAAGAAATGTTTGATATTTGGACTGGAAACAAGACAAAAACACAGAGTAAGAAAAGCATTTTCTGCAGTGTGTGTGTGTGTCTGATCCTCTCGTGGCGAGTGTGTCTCACCTCGTTCTGTGTGTTAATCAGCGTGACTCGGACGTCCTCGAACGGGCCCCACGACTCATGAGTCCTCAGCAGCAAATCCCCTGCAGGGGGCGTCTGATCCAGCCCAGCACCGGCAGCCCAGATCTACACACACACACACACACAGAGTCAGAGAGAGAAACCGTCAGGTCACACTCAGTGTGTTTCCTCAGTGTTTACAGTGAGCATCTGTCCAGCATCCAGCGCACACAACACACACACACACACACGTGTTTACCGTGAGCATCTGTCCAGCGTTCAGCACACACGGCGAGGGGAACTGGAAGACGATGTCCTGTTTTTCTGCTTCACTCTTCCTCAACACCCAGCCTCCCAGAGCCTGATCCTGAAACACACACACACACACCAAAAAATATAAAGCTAAACCAAAGTGAGTGTGTGAGAGACACTGAGATAGACGTGATGTGATCGCCGCACCTGGTCGGAGGTGTTCCTGAGCTTGACGAAGCGGCCCTGCGGGTCGATCTCGTCGATACACACACTCCCGCGGGACGAGGAGCGCTGGCTGAGCTTGTAGCCGGGCGAGAGGCCTGAACTGGAGCCCTCGTGCTTGCGCTTCCTCCCCCAGCCCTTGCGCACCGGCTGACCCCGCGTCCGAGACACGGCCGGCGGCTGGATCGGACTCGGAGACAGATTCAGCCTGAGGAGGAGCAGCGCAGGACACACCAATAAAACCAGTGTGACTCTGGATCGGGTCACATTAGCCAACAACACACTGTAGGAGTCAAAATTATCGATTTTTGTTCTATGCCAAAACTCATTAGGATATTACATAAAGATTTATTTCCTTCTGTAAATATATTGTACACTGCAAACAATGCTTTTCTTACTCAGTGTTTTTGTCTTGTTTCCAGTCCAAATATGTAAAAATTCTTACATCAAGATGCATTTACTAGATGAGTAAAATGCCATTATGTCCTGTTTTTGATGCTTAAAATAAGCAAATTTATTTATTCAAACAGAAACAAATATTATTTCTCTCCCCATTGGCAGATAATTTTGCTTTTTTTTTTTAAGCGTCGACTCACTTCAAGGGATACTTCACCTCTGGAAAGATGAATGTGTTTTTAAAATGGGTCATTTATGCAGAAGAATGGGCTCTATGCACGGCGGTATTTCCGGTGAAGGATTAAAGGGTTAGTTCACCCAAAAATGAAAATTCTGTCAGTATTTACTCACCCTCATGTTGTTCCAACCCTGTAAGACCTTCGTTCATCTTCGCAACACAAATTAAGATATTTAAGATATTAAGATCGCTTCATAGGCTTCTTGAGGGAATGGCTCTTGCTGTCCCCGAAAAGTCATTAAAGACATCGTTAAAATAGTCCAAGTGACTACAGGGCTCAATCTTAACTTTATCAAACGACGAGAACACTTTTGTGCGCAAAAAAACAACAAAAATAACGACTTTATTTCAACTATTGGTTTATTTCTCCCTTTGCGCGAGTCAGGTTACTAGTTTGATAGCGTAAGCTTCTGTTATTGTACGTCACACGCATCATCACACACATGACCAGCGTCGGCCAATAGTGAGCCTACGTGTGACGTAGCTTTACGCAATCACACTACGTTAACTGACTACAGGCTCATGGAGAAGGAAGTGAATAGTTGAAATAAAGTCGTTATTTTTGTTGTTTTTTTGCGCACAAAAGTGTTTTCGTCGTTTGATAAAGTTAAGATTGAGCCACTGTAGTCACTTGGACTATTTTAACGATGTCTTCAATTACTTTTCGAGTCATTCCCTCAAGAAGCCTATGGACTAGTATGCAGGAGCGATCTTAATATCTTAAATATCTTAATTTGTGTTCCGAAGATGAACGAAGGTCTTACGGGGTTGGAACAACATGAGGGTGAGGAAATACTGACAGAATTTACATTTTTGGGTGAACTAACCCTTTAAGGATGCTCGATAACTTCCGCCGATCGTAGAGTCCAATGCAATACCGAGAATTTATATTGAATTTTACACTCCATGGTTTTACTAAAGAAACGTTAGTCACAAAAACAGATAAAACAGACACCCCTCGTTGTGTTTATGCTTCTTTTTAAAATTATATTAAATAAATATAACTATATATAAAATTACATCTAAACGTATGTACGTTTCATTTCAAAGACGGGAGGACAGTAAATTTTGAAGACTCTGCCATAATCCCGTTTTCCTCGGTTTTCCTCCGCTTTAATCTACACAACCGGAAATGGACGAGCATCCTTGCGTCAAATGCGGAATTAATGCGTGCATATAGCCCATTGTGAAATTATTTTTGAATTTGGAGCCTTCTAGACTGAGAAAAGCCAGAAAATGTATTTTTGGCTTGTGTGGATGAAAGACAACAACTCCCAGAATGCACTTGCTTCGCTGCCCTAGGAGGCCACGCCCACCGGTAACAGAGCGCAGGAGTTATACATAGTTCCCACATGACGTCACAACATACGGGCATTTGCCGACCCGGCGCCATTGCTTAGGGCAAAACATAAGAAGAAGCAATACGAGTTTAACGAAGTGAAATGAGTTTCGTGCTATAAAGTGAAAATGGTCATCTCCTGCTGAGTCAATGGATGATAAAATCGTGCCGGAGGTTCAGTTAAATCGGGATTTTACACTATACCCGTCATTAGACTCCATGGATGTGAGAAGACTAAGCTTTTGTCCGAACAACGATGGAGATTATGGCTGGCGAGCATAAACAGGAAAGAAACTCACTCAAAACACGCAAGAATTTGTTTGACAAAAGCACAATGTTGTGTTTTATTGCGAGTGTAAATAAATATAAGTTAACACGTTGCAGTTTGAATAATGTCCTGTATGAACAAAATGACGAGGTATTAAAAACATACAAAACATTGTTTCCACTGTTTGATCTCACATTCCAGCATTGCAATCTCAGATTATGTCCCTAAAGATCCCGCGTATAATGTAATTTATTACATTAATTAAATTGCACGCGAGTTATTTATTTTAATATTCATGCACCGAACCATGACGCCCGCAAGTACATGCATATAACAGAAATCACCGGTGACTGGGGAACATAGGAATTAAGTTGTGCAGGCTATGGCTTTTTAATAGACAGATTAGCATCATGCTACTTCGCTATGATGACTTAAGTTACTTTTCCATTGATTGCACTTGAGCAAACGTCACCAAACCAACCCCACGTCAATCTGATCGTACACCTCCAGTGATTTCCAGGCTTGGAATTGCTCACATGTGTAAAAACTCCTCACCAATACCAGATAATTGTACACATGAAAATACTGTATCTGAGGCAAAGTTGCATAATCGGTGCTCAGTGCTTCTTTTGTTGCATAAGGATACACACCATTTATGAATGAAATTTTCGCATTGTACCTCTCTATGTCTTGTTTTAATAGTCTCTTTATAATCTATTACACTCTGTCTTTTCATGATTTGCATAACAATATAAACAGACATAAATATTTGTTTGTAAAACGACATTCTCTGATAAAACGTTGTAAACGCCTATGGTAAACACAGCGGTTTTGCCCTCAAAGATGGCGTCTCCGGGGAGGTCACGTGACAATTTTTTTGCCTGTGGGAACTATGTATACAACAAGTCTGTGAGTCTCCGTGATGAAAAAATGACGATTTTTTTCCAGACAAATTTACATAAATCTCTCATCTCAGGGGGATATGGGGGTGGAAAGCACGGTGATTCGAATAATAAAACAGGTTTTCTAGCAATACAAAGCTTAATGCTAAATCCTGAAGTATTCCTTTCATTTTGATTAATTCCCCCGGAAAACAGGACACAATATCTTATCTCATTTTACTATAGAAAAATGCATCTTGATTTAAGAAATGTTTGATATTTGGATTGAAAGACAAATAAACAGTAAGAAAAGGCAGTTTTGCCGGGACAGGACACAGCGCACCGCTTCTCCTCGCCCTCCAGCATCTTGCGGTACGCGTTGATCTCCATGTCCAGCAGGAGCTTGGTGTCCAGCAGGTTCTGGTACTCCTCCAGTCGCTCCTGCATCTGCTGCCTCAGATCCGCCATCTCCTGCTCCTTCTGGGAGAGCCGGTACTGGTGGGACTGTCTCTCGCGGTCCAGCATCTGCTCCAGCTCCTGCACACGAGCCTCCAGCGCCGAGTTCTGGTCCACACACACACACACACACACACACACACACAGTCAGCTTTCTTTAGTGTTGCTGTTTGAGCATGAAGTGGCTCTCTAAAGCGCCTCCAGCGGTAAATCAGTCGTAATTTCGGCGCCGGCTTTTACGATATAGACGACACTAATGCCACAACAAGCAAGTAAACTTAATTCTAATGCCTGATCTGTGACTAGGGTTGGGTATCGAGAATCGAGTATCGATTGGAACCGGGACTAACTTTTCATTTTTCCCGGAATCGTTCAAAAGTTAAAATTTCGATTCCTAGTTTCGATATTCACAGTCCGCCGAGCGGAAGAAGAAACCACTGAACAACACCAACGAAGAAGCGTCTACCGGAAGTGTTGGCATAACCGCGCGAGTCGAACATGAGTAGCTTACGTCGGCGATCCAAAGTGTGGCTTCACTTTTCTAAAAATAACGAAATCTCGGCAAAATGCAAAATTTGTGACAAAAGGAGTATTTTTACAGAAGGAGTATTTCCTTCAGAAAGGCCGTTGGTTAGCAAGGTTAGCTAAACTTTTTTGAACCCGCCTCTTAAAAGAATCGCAATCGAGAATCGTTAGGAATCGAAACAAGGAATCGGAATCAGAATCGTTCAAATTCAAACGATACCCAACCCTATCTGTGACCAGTGATTTTTGATTTGTCAGTCGGATTTGATTCATGTACAGTCAAATGTGTCGGTAAATCAAACCAGTGACTTCAACTTCACATGGTTTCTCTTAGTAGAATGAAAATAATCGGTTTGCTTTGCAAACAAACTTGAGGGACAGATGCACTTTTATGACGAATAGATGCACTTTTATGATGGACAGATGCACTTTTATGATGGACAGATGCACTTTTATGATGGACAGATGCACTTTTATGAGGGATCAATGCACTTTTATGATGGATAGATGCACTTTTATGATGACAGATGCACTTTTATGAGGGACAGATGCAATTTTATGATGGATAGATGCACTTTTATGATGGATAGATGCACTTTTATGATGATAGATGCACTTTTATGAGGGACAGATGCAATTTTATGATGGATAGATGCACTTTTATGAGGGATAGATGCACTTTTATGATGGATAGATGCACTTTTATGATGGACAGATGCACTTTTATGATGGATAGATGCACTTTTATGATGATAGATGCACTTTTATGAGGGACAGATGCAATTTTATGATGGACAGATGCACTTTTATGATGGATAGATGCACTTTTATGATGGACAGATGCACTTTTATGAGGGACAGATGCAATTTTATGATGGATAGATGCACTTTTATGATGGATAGATGCACTTTTATGATGATAGATGCACTTTTATGAGGGACAGATGCAATTTTATGATGGATAGATGCACTTTTATGATGACAGATGCACTTTTATGAGGGACAGATGCAATTTTATGATGGATAGATGCACTTTTATGATGGATAGATGCACTTTTATGATGATAGATGCACTTTTATGAGGGACAGATGCAATTTTATGATGGATAGATGCACTTTTATGAGGGATAGATGCACTTTTATGATGGATAGATGCACTTTTATGATGGACAGATGCACTTTTATGATGGATAGATGCACTTTTATGATGATAGATGCACTTTTATGAGGGACAGATGCAATTTTATGATGGACAGATGCACTTTTATGATGGATAGATGCACTTTTATGATGGATAGATGCAATTTTATGATGGATAGATGCACTTTTATGATGGATAGATGCACTTTTATGATGATAGATGCACTTTTATGAGGGACAGATGCAATTTTATGATGGACAGATGCACTTTTATGATGGATAGATGCACTTTTATGATGGACAGATGCACTTTTATGAGGGACAGATGCAATTTTATGATGGACAGATGCACTTTTATGATGGATAGATGCACTTTTATGATGAATAGATGCACTTTTATGATGGATAGATGCACTTTTATGATGATAGATGCACTTTTATGATGGATAGATGCACTTTTATGATGGATAGATGCACTTTTATGATGATAGATGCACTTTTATGAGGGATAGATGCACTTTTATGGAATTCAAAACAGAAACATCAATTAACTGCCATTATAAAGCTTGGTAGAGCCAGGACATATTTTAATATAACTCTGTGTTCGACTGAAAGAAGAAGGTCATATACACCTAAGATGGCTTGAGGGCGAGTAAATCATGGGCTAATTTTCATTTTTGGGTGAACTATCCCTTTAAGTCCTAATGCACAGTGTCGTTGATGAATAAAAGTATTGATTTTTTCTTTTTTTTTTAAATCGTACCAACCCCAAACTTCTGAATGTTAGTGTAGCTGATGGGAAAACCCGTCCACATCTCTACCTTTTTGTGCAGGTTGTTGATTTGCAGCGACTGAGAATCCAAACGTATTTTAGTTCCCGCCAGTTCTTCTCTCGTTGAAGAAGCGAAGTCGCTGTTTTTCACCGCCGCCTGCTTCGCGTTCTCCAACTGCAAGAGATCGACCCAGAACACCAATTACTGCAAACCAACGAGAACACGGAGAATGGTTTGCTCTCGGACACAGGATTACTGAGGTACCATGAAGGACAGATGTTTGGTGTGTGTCCAGGTTACCGTCTCTTCCTTTCGCTCAAACCCCTGAACTACACTTCTCCTGCAGACTGCACTTCTCACTGCTGTAAAATCCTCACGCTGATTTACTGTCTTAAATGCATGAAAACACACTGATTTTTGTTCATCAATAAAGTGGACACAAGTGTAAACCGGCTTCATCTATTTGCGTCTCCTCTATTCTGCCAAGGAAGAAGGAAAAGCCTGTTTTTAATTCTTTAAGTTTAAAGAATTATTTACCCTTGTGGTATTTCGTATACCATTGTTGGTATTTGATAATCATTAGCTGTGGAAATATCTGTAAATTATTAATATGTATGGTACGAGTGTTTGGTTTTGACTTGTGCATTCACTGTTTCTAAATGAGGTATTATTTCTATTTGAGATCGTCGATGAAGGAAGCTGATATTTTTTTTTTTTTGTTATTGTGTAAAATATGTAATAGACTGGGGTGGGGTTTAATAAGTTTTACTTCTTCCCACTCCATTTCAAGCATAAGTGTTAAAAGTTATTTTATTGTCCATCTTTTCTGTTGTCACACTATCTTGCTTGAAATAAATAAATAAATAAATAAATAAGTCTTTCTCTTGCGGTCTCTTCTACAGCTTCATTGGCTGTTGCTCAACGCTTGTTATTCTGCAATTCAACTTAAAAGGTGAAACTAACATATTACAGTATAAAGACTCATTACATGCAAAGTGAGATATTTCAAGCCTCTGTTATAATTTTGATGATTATGGCTTACAGCTCATGAATCATAAGCTCAATCATCAAAACTATAACAAACATATAAACAACATTTATAAATAACTGATATGAGTACAATTAATATAAGGAAAATTAAATGAAATACACAAGTTTTGCATGACCATTTTCTAAAATGTAAAATAGCTCAATAACACTATCTGCAGAACAGGCGTGTGTGTTTCACCTTGGCGACGAAGGTTTTCTCCAGCTCCTCTTTGTACTGCTGGATTTGGGCTTCATGTTCTTCGCGGAGCTGCTTCATGGCTTCAGCTAATTTACCTTCAAACTCCTTCTGTCTGCCGGTGTCGAGCTCCATCAGCCGGCTCTCGTGGCGACTGCGCATCTCGCACACCTCCTGCTCACACACACACACACACAGTCTGTGAGTGATCGACATTACAACCAACCTGGGGTGTGTTTCCCGTACAGCGGTGTAACCAGCGTTACAAGTAACGAGTTATGCAACGCATTACTTTTAAATTTAAAACAAAATATCCGAGTTACTTTTTCAAATAAGTAACGCAAGCTACTTTGTTTTCCCATTTATTGACTGAAAGCTCTCCTGTCCTCATGCCGAGACAAATCAACTAGCGTAGTAGAAATCGCGACTGTTTCCCAAATCATAGCGTCTCTAAGGCCTCGTTTACACTACATGGTTCAAGTGACCCAAACTCGATTTTTTCCTCTCGTGTGGCACAGATCGGATATGACCGGTGAACGTGTAAGCAGGAAAAAAACGCATGGAATCTGATTCTCAGATCGGATTCAGGCCTCACTCATATGTGGTAATAAATCGGATACGTGCATTTGCGTGTGCCATGTAAGCAGACAAATCGGATATTCCCCAGTAAACACGAGTCTTACGTCATTAAAAAGTGCGCGATTATAGCAGTGATGAAAGAAAGGATACACACAGTGGAGCAATGCGGAGGTTTCATGTCTTTTGAGTAGGGCTGTGCAAAAATTAATTGCGATTAATCGCATCCAAAATAAAAGTCTGTGTTTACATAATATATTTGTGTGTGCTGTATATAATTATTTTGTATATATAAATACACGTATATATTTAAGAAAATGTGTTATTCATATATAAAATATTTATATTTATATAATATAGATTATGTATTTTTATATATATATACAGAATTTAAGCACAAATAATTCTTAAATATATACATGCATGCATAGGTATTTATTTATACAAAATAATTATATACAGCACACACAAATATATTATGTAAACACAGACTTTTATTTTGGATGCGATTAATCACAATTAATTTTTGCACAGCCCTACTTTTGAGTGTTTGGGGTGAAGAGTGCAGACTAAAATGAAGGGTTGTTACAGAAATAAATCCGTTTTTGAAGGCATTTCTACGGAGGTGTATTGCATTCACTTGAAGAAAAAAAAATCTACTCTGTTTTTCTGAATTAACGAGTTAATTTTTCATGAGAAATTTTTTTTTTTGCTCTGTTTTTCTGAATTAATTAGTTAATTTTTCGTGAGAAAAAAAGTTTTTTCTCTGTTTTTCTGAATTAACGAGTTAATTTTTCGTGAGAAAAAAAGTTTTTGCTCTGTTTTTCTGAATTAACGACTTAATGTTTCATGAGAAAAAATTTTTGCTTTGTTTTTCTGAATTAATTAGTTAATTTTTCGTGAGAAAAAAAGTTTTGCTCTGTTTTTCTGAATTAATTAGTAAATTTTTTGTGAGAAAAAAAGTTTTGCTCTGTTTTTCTGAATTAACGAGTTAATTCAGAAAAACAGAGCAAAAAAAAAAAACAATTCCATGAAAAATTAACTCATTAATTCAGAAACACAGCAAAAAAAATTTCCATGAAAAATTAACTCGTTAATTCAGAAAAACAGAGCAAAACCTTTTTTTCTCATGAAAAATTAACTCAATACGTCTGCATTTGGTAGTTTCAGCAGTCTATAGTGTAAATGCAAAAATCGGATATGGGTCACTTTTAAAAGATGATGTAAGCAGGTCATAAAAAAAATCGGATATAGTCAGAAAATCGGATTTGGGCATCAAGACCTGCAGTGTAAATGCAGCCAAAGTGGTCGTTCAACCGCATTGGTTAATGATGATGTCACGCAGATGTTGGAGTAATAAATCCTATTAATGATTCTGTTTGAGACCGAACTAACGCTAAATGTTCCTCTATAAATTACAGACATGCATCTGAGGACCAACTCATTTTTCTCAGTTATTTCCAGATTCACTCATAGACTCGTTCACACATGCGCACTCTTTAAATCACATGACAAACTAAAAGATGTTACGAATTACATTTGTAATATTTTGCAGTTTGCTTATTTTGTTCAAGACACGGATTTATTGAGTCCACACGTCACGAAAACAAGAAACTGCCTCTAAGCGCAGCTCGAGATCTGTCGCTCACACACACACACACACACACACACACACACACACACACACACAACGATGCTGTTTGCAAATGTTTTGCTGGAATTACAATTTTGGGAAACACCGATCAATAAAATCAACCAATAGATGCATTTCCATTACAGATTGATAAACTATTGCGAATTGACAGCATTTCCATATACCATGATGCAACTACAACGTCATTTGTAATTTTAAATCATGGCGATGGATGTTGGTAAATTTGTAGGTATATATCGATTAGAGCCCGACCGATAAAGGATTTTGAAGGCCGATACTGATAAAAATATTTTTTGGTTTTAAAATCCGATATTCCGATATATCGGTCGATGCTTTTTATTTATTTTTTTTTTTTTCAGAAACGCACAACAAAACATTAACAGATTTCTCTAACATTAGTTATTTGTAACTAAAATAAACTAAAATAATATGATAATGCATTTTAAAAAGAAACTTGTTTCTTTTATTGTCATGACAGAACAGACTGACGATAGCATTAGCTAGCTTTATGGTTAGCTAGTCTATCATGAGCCATAATTTAGCTAACTGCAAATTGTAAAACATACATGTTCAATATAACAGGCCGAGGAGAGATGATGCGTCTCATTGTTATAAATCTCACGCGCTTTTAAAGAAATACTTCAGTCACATTGTTAAAAGTTTAAAGGACAGTCAGTCAACTACTGTAACAACGTAACGTAACTATTACTAGCTAATTCCGCTTCACTCTCGGCTTATTTAACAACGGGACATGGACATGATAATATCGAAGACATGAAGGCGTAAATTCAAGCATCAATGGCAAGGAAAGACGCTTGAGGCGTTTTCGTCAAGCTCTTGATCGTGGCATTTCGTTGAGGTTTCGAATCCAGTATTCCTGTAATTCGTTTGTCTTTTATGAGTTTAACGAAGAACTCTGTCTCGTCCAAACATACCGCATCATCTACGTCAGGTGAACCGTTTCCATTGCAGTTTTTGCCTGAAAAATCTCCTGAAAAACCTCCTCATGCGAGCGTAAATATTTTTTGCGAAAAAGTCGTTTCCTTGGAGCGTATTTTCAATTTGCGCAATTTGAAGGGTAATGCAAACGCGGCTGACGAATGAAACATCAGTGTTTTGGACGACAGAACCTGTTCGCTGAGATGCTTCTGGAAGTCCAGCTGCTCCTGCAGGGTTTGGATCTGGTTCTCAGCATCAACTCGACGCAGCATCTCAGAGTTCAACTGGGTCTTGGCGTTCTGCAGCGCCGCCTCCAGCTGTAAGGCAGAAGAAACGTTTAAACTGACATTAATTGAGTTAAAGGGGTAGTAAGCGATTTCACTGTGGATATTTGAAATCAATCAAAATAAACACGCCCCTCCCTTTATTGCCCCGCCCCCAAAATCCACAAACAGCCAATGCAAGAGTGGATAGTCTCTTTATAAAGGCTGAAGTGGAGCAAAATAATGCTTCACAAGAAGATAGTATTCCTCTGCGCTTTCTCTTTTGTAATGTCTCTCAGCCATTTCTCCTTCTACAGTCTTTCAAATCTCTCTCTCTCCCGCATCATGAGCGGTCACGCCCACTACTGCGGATTGGCTCACTATCTCACAATCAGAGTGGACACACCCCCTTCTGCTGATTGGCTCACTATCTCACAATCAGAGTGGACACACCCCTTCTGCTGATTGGCTAACTCTCATCCCCATCATGAGTGGACACACCCCCTTCTGCTGATTGGCTAACTCTCATCCCCATCATGAGTGGACACACCCCCTTCTGCTGATTGGCTGCTCGGTCCAATCCACTTTCAACAGCTTTTCTGCACGTGGAGGACTACTAACAAAAACAAACCAATGGTTGTAGATGTCCTGAATAGCTTCTTGAGTTTATCAGTCAATATTTAATAGGGCTGGGTAATAAATATCGATTTCTCGATATTAATCGATTCTCATTTTTACGAACCGATATCGATTCTTAAATCTCAAGAATCGATTAGTCATCCTGTTTCATTTGAATGAATGGATCATTGTATCGCGGCTGCGTGTATCCAAAAAAAAATGCAATAATCTTTGTCCTTTGTTACTATTGATATGAAACAAAGTCTCAATTTTCAAGTTACGTCCATTTTCTTTAGAAATTCAAAAACATAAATAGCGTTTTGTCGCTGTGGCGTGAGATCGCTCTGGAGAAGCAGCAGCGCTGATGTCTCTTCCGGCTTAATAATACCAGTTAAACATGAATGAGCAACTGAAAGTGTGTTAAAGATAGAGTACAACTTATCCAAATCCGGATCATGTCATATTGATTCGCTCAATCAGCGTTTCAACCGTGGAAAGACGTCAAACAGCTTGTAATCAATGTCATCGTCATATTTACCTCAGAAAACCCACATAAACTCGTTAGTCAGCTAGAAAAAATAGCATTTTGCTAAATATATACACCACATTACATATGCATTATAATCTTAATGTTCTTCAATATTTAATGCATATTTGAATAAATCTGGCAAGTTTTTATGACAGCCACCATTTAAATGTTTATATTTCATATAATCTTCTTATTATAAAATAAATAAGTGTAATTTAAGTGTTTGTATAGCTACAAAACAGTTCATTATTACCTTCATATTAGGCTAATGAAGCCTAGCAGGCTACAACTAGACTGCCGTAGTTTACAGCATTTAAGAGATTTGATTCCCTTGAGAAAAATGGCCATTTATTGTAACTGATATCCAAAATAATCGATATTCAATCGAATCGTAATCGTAATCGAATCGAATTGCAAGCTTGTGAATCGAAATCGAATTGTGAAATTTGTCTCAACACCCAGCCCTAATATTTAACCGTAAACGCTGATGTGATGTGCATGATGAAGATAGTTACGGATAGTTGGCGCAGACACTAGTACAAACACCATCAGTCTTTCCCGTTAGTTTCATGCATGTTGTGTACTCACATTAGCCACCTGAGTCTTGAGATTGGAGATGTCATTCTCCAGTCTGCGGTTGGTGGCCTGTAAATTTGCATAATCCGCTTCTTTAGAGTTCAGCGCGGCTTCAAGATTCCTCCAGTGTCCGACAGCCGTGTTCAGTTCACACTCTTTCTTATTATTCCTGAGACACAAGAGAACAAACTTTAGATCAGATTACTAAGGCGTGTTAGCATAAGGTGTGCCGGTTCAGAATTGGTAATGGCGGTTATGACGTGTCAAATATCATCCGGGGGTTCATCTGTTATAGGACAACTTAGTTTGAATAAACGAGCAGACACTGGTTAGCTACTTGCTCTATGTTTATTATAAATGAACAGCAGTCAGTGTGCTTTCCATTAAATGAATCACACACAGTACACGAATCCTTAACAAAAACAGGCCTTTCTTTGTCAGTGTCGGCTGCTGCGATCTTCAGTAGTGAACGCGCCAGAGAGAAATGCACATTTCATACAGATTGCATAAGAAGAGAGCAGTCTGATATCAATATAATTTCAGATATCTAAAATGGCTACAATCACACTCATGATACCAGAAATTAACATTGACGACACTAATGAAAATAGAATTGTTGATATCAATAATAGACATTTGCACTAGTAACTACGCAATTGATATCAAAAATAAAGGTTTTTATTATCAAGAATTGTATTTCTGAGCACCTGGCAGTGAGTGTGTGATGGTCCTCTTGTAACTGCGTGAACTCGATCTGAAGTCTCGCGCGCTCGTTCGCGATGGCATCAAGACTCTTGCGCGCGTCCGAGAGCTCGGTCTCGTACAGGCGGCGCACGTTCCCGATCTCCCTGCGACTGCTCTCCTCCTTCTCCTCCAGCAGGATCTGCATGGATGACTTGTCATTCTCCAATTGTCGGACCCGCTCGATGTAATTCGCGAGACGGTCGTTCAAATGCCGCAAATCCTCTTTCTCCTGCAGGCGCGTGACCCGCGTCGGGCTCACGGTGGACGGGGACGCGCCGGCCCCAGCGCCGCTCCGCCTGGACGTGCGCACCGTGGACGCGCGGCTCTCCATCGGGCTTGAGGTGATCATAATAACTGACGCACTTTCTATAAAATAAAATAAAAAATAAAAAAACACACACACAAATACGAATAACAGATCAGATTTGCTCAGAAAACACAGATTTCCTGACCCAAACAAAAGTGGAATAAAACGCTCAAACGCGTGTGTTTGACAGGACCTGACAGTTTGTAATAACTGACGCACTTAAATACATAAATAACAATATACAAGAACACACTTGCTCAGATAACCTGACACAAACTCAAACTGACACAAAGAGCAGATTTGCTCGGAAAACACAGATTTCCTGACACAAACTCAGAGAAGTGGAATAAAATTGGCGTTTGACGCGTTGCACAATCACTCAAACAAGTGTGTGTGTGTGTGTGTGTGTGTGTGTACGCACGCGTTACCGGGATGTGTGCTGTGAAGTCCACAAAACAGGGGATTTGCTGCTGTTTCTCTCACACTAAACACTCAGTTTGCGCTTCGTTGCGGTCAGCTGTGCAGTGATGACGTCATATCACAAGTCCGGCCGGATTTAAAGGGAAAGGTCGAATAAAAACAAACGCAGCAAACTGAACTCAGAATAAGATTTTTTTTTTATTTAGTAGCTATATTTTCATGTTATCTCTTTGTTTAGAGTATAAGAAACAAATGGTAAAAAAAAAACCAAACAAACATTTTTGTAATAACTGACGCACTTTCTCTAAAAGAAAAAAATATAAACGAATATAAAAGAGCAAACGTGTTCAGGTAACACAGATATCCTGACACAATCTCAGAAGAAGTGGAATAAAACTAGCGTTTGACACAGTAGCTCAAACACGTGTTTGTGTGTTTAACGCATGTTTACCGGGATGTGTGAAGTCCAAACACTGAATTTCTCCGAGGTTTGCTGTTGTTTCGCTCAGAAAACACTCGGTATTACTGTCAGCTGTGCAGTGGTGATGTCATATCACAAGACCAGCCGGATTTAAAGGGAAAGATCTGATTAAAGCAAACATATCGTATTAATATTGTGGTAAAAGCCTTTAAATATGTGGTTCTAATTTAGTTTACTCAAGTATATTGATAATGACATTGATTTTTAAGTGCCTTAAACTGTACGTTTTTGAAAAATAAATTGAATGTAAAATAATTACATTTTGACATACATACGCTACGTTTTTTTAAATGATAGGCTTACATATATATATATATATATATATATATATATATGTAAGCCTATCATTTAAAAAAAACGTAGTGTATGTATGTCAAAATGTAATTTTGCATTGATCAAGCCTATCTTTTAAAAAAAACGTAGTGTATGTACTATGTCAAAATGTAATTATTTTATATAATTTTACTGTACGTTTCTGAAAAATAAATTGAATGTAAAATAATTACATTTTGACATACATACACTACGTTTTTTTTTAAATGATAGGCTTACATATATATATATATAAGGGCTGTGCAAAAGTTAATTGCGATTAATCGCATCCAAAATAAAAGTCTGTGCTTACATAATATATTTGTATGTGCTGTATATAATTATTTTGTATATATAAATACCTATGCATGCATGTATATATTTAAGAATTATTTGCGCTTAAATTCTGTATATATATATATATATATATATAAATACATAATCTATATTATATAAGTATTTTATATATGAATAACACATTTTCTTAAATATATACATACATGTGTGTGTATTTATATATACAAAATAATTATATACAGCACAAACAAATATATTATGTAAACACAGACTTTTATTTTGGATGCGATTAATCGCAATTAATTTTTGCACAGCCCTAATATATATATATATATATATATATATATGTAAGCCTATCTTTTAAAAAAACGTAGTGTATGTACTATGTCAAAATGTAATTATTTGATATAATTTTATGTAATTATTTTATATATATATGTGAGCACCATAATAATTTTGCATTGATCAAAATTGCGTCTATTAAAGATTTATTAAAAAGTATTTAATAATTTTTTATTCAAAAATATCTACAAACTGACATTAAAAAGACACATACCGCCTAAGCTACATTTTTTACAATCCCAGCAAAGAATGCATTCATCAAATATGTTAAGAAAGGGGTGTGAACAACAATTTGTTTTCTCAACCAGTACAGCAGATGGCGCTAATATCCGCCCGAACAAAAACACCGGAGAGGAAGAAGCAGTCTCCTTAAACTTGCAGGTTTGCAATTTTTATCGTATTACAAATACAATAATGGAAGTTAAATTCTTTAAATTATTTTTATATTTTAACATTGTTTTAAGTAGATTTAGTAGATCGCTTGTAATGTTTCATGGATGCATAATTTATTTCATCATGCAATAAATTATAATGTAGGCTACACACAGTTACCTGTTGTTTAGCACTATTGCTTTTTTTGCTGAAGAGAAAAATAGTTGGAACCAAAGCTACAGGAGAAGTGGATAATTTGCCACACAATTAATCTACACATTTAACAGCCTTTGAGAAAACATTGAGCCATATTCAGAAGAACTGTTTTCTTTCATTTTTAAATACTGTATGTAATACTGGATTTCTGCTTTGACGTTCAGATTTAGGCGTTGCAACAGGAAAGGATGGTATTTTCTTCACACACTTTTGGTCTGCCATACTCAGTGTTGTTTCTGATCATGTCCATCCTTTTATGACCACAGTGGACCATCTTCTGATCTATCATCATGACAATACAGAGCAAAAACCTCCGAGGAAAGTGTCCATCAGTTCGCTAAATCTCTGCCATGAAGAGTAAAGCACTTCTGACGGCAAACGATGACCAAACCTGGAGCTCGCAATGTTATAAAGCCGCAGATAAGTGTGTAGGATAAAAGTGAGTGACTTTAGGCATAAACATATTCTAGAATTGAGAATTCTTATTAAAAATGTGTCAACACAAGAAAACAAAGGATTTCATTTGTAAAATGTAAAGCATTTCATTGACTTGTCTGCAAATAACATGTTTAAGGTATTAAAAATACAGCTTACTTAATAATATATTTTAAATACAAAGTTTATAATGGCTGTTTTTATTGAACAATAATTATTATTTTATTTTGTAATATTTTATGTTATAATGTTGGCGTACTCGGTTTATCTTCAGTGGCGTTACACAGTTGCGCCAGTAGGGGGCGAAAGAGACTGACTTCAAGAGCAAGTCAGTAGACATTCTGTTATAATAATAATTGTATCCCTTTAAACTCATCTTTGATCACCAAAATGATACATTTAAAATGTTTTTCCTAAGAAAATTAAAAATTAAGTTCAAATTATTCAGGTTTTGAGTTTTTTCTTGCAACTTTATATATGTATGCATGTATATATATTTATATATATAAATGGTACTGGAAATATTAAAGAATCTAAGGATAAGCAACATGTGTTACTATATGAGAGCATCCATACAGGTTCTTTGTTTTTATATGCGATTTAATTTTATAATCATTATAATGTGAAAAATAGTCAGAAATATAATCATTTATTTCTCCCCATTGGTAGATAATTTTGCTTTTTTTAAGCATCAACTCACTTAATTTTGATGAATTCTCCAGAAAACAGGACATAATATCTAATATCATTTTACTCATCTACAAAATGCATCTTGATTTAAGAAATGTTTGATATTTGGACTGGAAACAGGACAGACACAGTAATAAAGCATGTTTTTTTTCTCTCCTGTGTGAATGTTTCATTGATAGACAGTCTCACAGATTATGCATCAGTATATACAGCTGTTTATTTGTGATTTTTTTTCCAAAACATGTCATTTACTACATACAATGCAAAAAAATAAATGTGTAATGAACATTCAAGGGGAAAAAAAGTGAGATGGACACGTATGAGATGGTACAGACCGAAATCAGCTGTACATCAAACAACGCAAAATTATACATTACGGTCTTGAGCTTCTCATGTGTTTCTAAGTATGTGAGGTGTGTTTTGTGATCTGGAAACGTCATGATGGGATCTTGGTGATCCAAAACAGTGATCCACCACCGATTTCACTTCACAACGGATATAAAATGAGCATTGATAAAGAGAGTTTGATCGTGACCACATTCAACAACTTTAATGCATTTCTTTTTGGGAGAATTAAACTGATTTTTATCAATTTGGTGAATTATTCCTACAATAGTTACAGGTTTACTCACCCTCTTGTTTTTGCCATGTATTATTTCTGTTCTCCCATGAAACACAACAGATTATGTTTTTACCGCACAGAGAAAGTGGAGAGTGATTTATAAGCCAAATACCAAAAAGGACAAACAAAATCAGCACATTAGTATCATAAACTCGTGCACTATATTTGGCAGGATGAATCACCGCACACTTCCGTTGTACAGAAAGCCAGTATCTGGCCCACATCTAGCCCACATCTGACCCACATCTGACCCGGATCTGGCCCACATCTAACCTACATCTGACCCGGATCCGGCCCACATCTAGCCTGGATCTGGCCAACATCTGACCCGGATCTGGCCAACATCTAACCTACATCTGACCCGGATCCGGCCCACATATGACCCGGATCTGGCCAACATCTGACCCGGATCTGGCCAACATCTAACCTACATCTGACCCGGATCCGGCCCACATATGACCCGGATCTGGCCAACATCTGACCCGGATCTGGCCAACATCTAACCTACATCTGACCCGGATCCGGCCCACATATGACCCGGATCTGGCCAACATCTGACCCGGATCTGGCCAACATCTAACCTACATCTGACCCGGATCCGGCCCACATCTAGCCTGGATCTGGCCTGCATCTTGCCCACATCTGATCCGAAATCTAGCCCACATCTGACCCGGATCTGGCCAACATCTAACCTACATCTGACCCGGCCCACATATGACCCGGATCTGGCCCACATCTAGCCCACATCTGACCCACATTTAGCCCACATCTAGCCCACATATGACCCGGATCTGGCCCACATCTAACCCGGATCTGGCCCACATCCGACCCACATTTAGCCCATATCTGACCCACATCTAGCCCACAACTAGCACACATCTAGCCCATATCTAGCCCACATCTATCCCACATCTGACCCACATTTAGCCCACGTCTGACCTGGTTCTGGCCCGCATCAGGGCCAACACTACATTCTAAAAAAAATGCTGAGTTGTTTCAACCCAAATTTGGGTCAAATATGGACAAACCCAGTCGTTGGGTTACATATTTAAATTACATTTTTAACCCAACATTTAGGTTTGTCTATGTTTAACCCAAAATTGGGTTAAAACAACCCAGCATTTTTTAAGAGTGTATGTTGCTGTCTGGGTTAAAATGACAAAAAGCAAACATCTCGTTTTTGTGTTTCACAGGAGAAAGTTTGGGAAACCCGAGGGCGAGTAAACGATGCCAATTCTGAAGAACAGCAAAAGTGCCGTTTTTCCAACCAGCTCATCCCAAAATTACATGAATCATCATTCATTCCTTGAAAACACCAGCAACCAAGCAATGACCAAATCAAATCAGTAATATAAAATGAAACTTTGCTTTGAACAACTAACGCAAATTCCTATTATATCACAATACTGACTATTTCTTGCTAGAAAATGCCATAATTTTACCTAAGAGTAAATAAAACTGCAGCATGCCTTTGAGTGAGAGTTATATGGAAAAAGGCACCTGATTCCAGGAGCGTAGTCCGTCTGAGACTAAACGTGTTCGGATCGCTGAGAAACCAAACAGATTTTCCTGTCGTTTTGGGTTAGTCAGACTGAACAGATCCACGTGAAACGCTTCGAAACTTTGTTTTGCGTTACAGCCATTATTAGCGTAAATGTACACTTTTTATTTTTTTAGGGAATATTTGCAGTGTTTTTTGTTACTATTATCTTTGAACAAACTTTGCATTAAGCGACAAAAAAAAAAAAAAAAAAAAGATTTTTCTCTTTGATATACACCGCTGTTCAAATGTTCTGGATCGGTAATATTGTTTATGTTTTAAAATAAGTGTCTTCTGCTCATCAAGGCTGCATTTAATCAACAACAAAAATGACATTAAATATTATGAATAAAATATAATTTATTCCTGTGATCAAAGCCGAATTTATCATCATTACTCCAGTACTCAGTGTCACATGACCCTTCACAAATTACTCTAATATGAGGATGTGATGATCAACACACATTTAAAAACAGTCAACATTGATAATGAAAAAATAATTCATGATTCTTTGATGAATAAAAAGTCCAATTTCATTTATTTGAAATGGAATATTTTGTTAACATTATAAATGTCCTTACTGTAACTTTTGATCAATTTAATGCATCCTTGATTTCTTTAATTACCGTTTTTTCTTCTTCGTATTTTTGTGAGCATAAAGAGACTTCTTTTTAAAAACAGAAAATATTACCAATCCCAAACTTTTTAACGACAGTGTTCGTCACAATAGAGGAGAAAAAACGATCTAAAGTTTCATGTCGACTCTAAACAAAAACGAGCCCGTGTTAGTGTTACCCAGCCAACATGTATATGTGGGCCCCACATGGTTTATGCTTGGGCTACGTGGGTACCAAGTGGGTATGGTCCCAAAATGGGCATCTTTTCTGGGGCCCACTTGGGTCAGCTACGTCGGTCCCACATGGGCAAAAATAGGTGGGCTCCCTATGTGGGTCCTAGTTGGGTCACTAATGGGAAATGAGGGCATGGGCTCAAAATGGGGAACACAAATGGGGCCCATTTGGGTTTATCAAATGGGTGAGACATTGGCAAATACAACCAGTCCCATATAGGCTGCCTGCGTGGGCCCAAGGTAGTACCCACATAGATAATCTCTATATGGGTTATGAATGGGAAAAATATATGGGGTCCACTTTCATAACCCATATGGGTCAGACATGGGCAAACACAATCAGTCCTATATAGGCTGCCTACATGAGCCCAATGTGGCACCCACGTTGGTAATCTCTATATGGGTTTTGAATGGGGCAATACATATGGGGCCCACATGGCCAAACTATATCGGACAGACATGTGCAAACACAATCAATCCCATATAAGCAACCTATATAGGCCCAAGATAGTTCCCTCATAGGTAATCTTTATATGGGTTCTGAATGGGAAAAACATATGGGTCCCACTTTGATAAACCGCATGGGTCAGACATGGGCAAACACAAACAGTCCCATTTAGGCTGCCTACATGGGCCCAAGGTAGTTCCCTCATAGGTAATCTCTATATGGGTTCTGAATGGGAAAAACATATGGGGCCCACTTTGATAAACCGCATGGGTCAGACATGGGCAAACACAAACAGTCCCATTTAGGCTGCCTACATGGGCCCAAGGTAGTTCCCTCATAGGTAATCTCTATATGGGTTCTGAATGTGAAAAATATATGGGGCCCATTTTGATAAACCGCATGGGTCAGATATGGGCAAACACAAACAGTCCCATATAGGCTGCCTACATGGGCCCAAGGTAGTTCCCTTATAGGTAATCTCTATATGGGTTCTGAATGTGAAAAATATATGGGGCCCATTTTGATAAACCGCATGGGTCAGATATGGGCAAACACAAGCAGTCCCATATAGGCTGCCTACATGGGCCCAAGGTAGTTCCCTCATAGGTAATCTCTATATGGGTTCTGAATGTGAAAAATATATGGGGCCCATTTTGATAAACCGCATGGGTCAGACATGGGCAAACACAAGCAGTCCCATATAGGCTGCCTACATGGGCTCAAGGTAGTTCCCTCATAAGTAATCTCTATATGGGTTCTGAATGGGAAAAACATATGGGGCCCACTTTGATAAACTGCATGGGTCAGACATGGGCAAACACAAACAGTCCCATATAGGCTGCCTACATGGGCCCAAGGTAGTTCCCTCATAAGTAATCTCTATATGGGTTCTGAATGTGAAAAATATATGGGGCCCATTTTGATAAACCGCATGGGTCAGATATGGGCAAACACAAGCAGTCCCATATAGGCTGCCTACATGGGCCCAAGGTTGTTCCCTTATAGGTAATCTCTATATGGGTTCTGAATGTGAAAAATATATGGGGCCCATTTTGATAAACCGCATGGGTCAGATATGGGCAAACACAAGCAGTCCCATATAGGCTGCCTACATGGGCCCAAGGTAGTTCCCTCATAGGTAATCTCTATATGGGTTCTGAATGTGAAAAATATATGGGGCCCATTTTGATAAACCGCATGGGTCAGACATGGGCAAACACAAGCAGTCCCATATAGGCTGCCTACATGGGCTCAAGGTAGTTCCCTCATAAGTAATCTCTATATGGGTTCTGAATGGGAAAAACATATGGGGCCCACTTTGATAAACTGCATGGGTCAGACATGGGCAAACACAAACAGTCCCATATAGGCTGCCTACATGGGCCCAAGGTAGTTCCCTCATAAGTAATCTCTATATGGGTTCTGAATGTGAAAAATATATGGGGCCCATTTTGATAAACCGCATGGGTCAGACATGGGCAAACACAAGCAGTCCCATATAGGCTGCCTACATGGGCCCAAGGTAGTTCCCTCATAGGTAATCTCTATATGGGTTCTGAATGTGAAAAATATATGGGGCCCATTTTGATAAACCGCATGGGTCAGATATGGGCAAACACAAACAGTCCCATATAGGCTGCCTACATGGGCCCAAGGTAGTTCCCTCATAAGTAATCTCTATATGGGTTCTGAATGGAAAAACATATGGGGCCCACTTTGATAAACCGCATGGGTCAGACATGGGCAAACACAAACAGTCCCATATAGGCTGCCTACATGGGCCCAAGGTAGTTCCCTCATAAGTAATCTCTATATGGGTTCTGAATGTGAAAAATATATGGGGCCCATTTTGATAAACCGCATGGGTCAGACATGGGCAAACACAAGCAGTCCCATATAGGCTGCCTACATGGGCCCAAGGTAGTTCCCTCATAGGTAATCTCTATATGGGTTCTGAATGTGAAAAATATATGGGGCCCATTTTGATAAACCGCATGGGTCAGATATGGGCAAACACAAGCAGTCCCATATAGGCTGCCTACATGGGCCCAAGGTAGTTCCCTCATAGGTAATCTCTATATGGGTTCTGAATGTGAAAAATATATGGGGCCCATTTTGATAAACCGCATGGGTCAGACATGGGCAAACACAAGCAGTCCCATATAGGCTGCCTACATGGGCCCAAGGTAGTTCCCTCATAGGTAATCTCTATATGGGTTCTGAATGTGAAAAATATATGGGGCCCATTTTGATAAACCGCATGGGTCAGACATGGGCAAACACAAGCAGTCCCATTATAGGCTGCCTACATGGGCCCAAGGTAGTTTCCTCATAAGTAATCTCTATATGGGTTCTGAATGTGAAAAATATATGGGGCCCATTTTGATAAACCGCATGGGTCAGACATGGGCAAACACAAGCAGTCCCATATAGGCTGCCTACATGGGCCCAAGGTAGTTCCCTCATAAGTAATCTCTATATGGGTTCTGAATGTGAAAATATATGGGGCCCATTTTGATAAACCGCATGGGTCAGACATGGGCAAACACAAGCAGTCCCATATAGGCTGCCTACATGGGCCCAAGGTAGTTCCCTCATAGGTAATCTCTATATGGGTTCTGAATGTGAAAAATATATGGGGCCCATTTTGATAAACCGCATGGGTCAGACATGGGCAAACACAAGCAGTCCCATATAGGCTGCCTACATGGGCCCAAGGTAGTTCCCTCATAGGTAATCTCTATATGGGTTCTGAATGTGAAAAATATATGGGGCCCATTTTGATAAACCGCATGGGTCAGACATGGGCAAACACAAGCAGTCCCATTTAGGCTGCCTACATGGGCCCAAAGTAGTTTCCACATAAGTAATCTCTATATGGGTTCTGAATGTGAAAAATATATGGGGCCCATTTTGATAAACCGCATGGGTCAGACATGGGCAAACACAAGCAGTCCCATATAGGCTGCCTACATGGCCCAAGGTAGTTCCCTCATAGGTAATCTCTATATGGGTTCTGAATGTGAAAAATATATGGGGCCCATTTTGATAAACCGCATGGGTCAGACATGGGCAAACACAAACAGTCCCATATAGGCTGCCTACATGGGCCCAAAGTAGTTTCCACATAAGTAATCTCTATATGGATCCTTAATGCGGAAATATATACAAGTATAATTGTGAATATAATGAACTATGGAATAAATATAAATTGTGCATCTGTAAATGACTTCATAAACTATACACTTGTAAAAAAAACATATCTGTGCAATCATTAAAACATTTATATACAGTATATTTATGATTTACAGTATAATCCTTGTTAAAATACCACTAACAGTTGACCATATTTAGTAGTGAGGAAATTTCACAAATGGACTTATTCCACAGGTGGAAACCTATCATGGTACCACGCTTGAATTCACTGAGCTCCTGAAAGCAACCTATGTTTTTACACATGTTTGTAGAAGCACCTGCATACCTAGGTGCTTGATTTTATACAACTGTGGCCATGGAAGTGATTGAAACACCCCCATTCAATAACTTGGATGGGTGTCCCAATACTGTTGGCAATAGGATACAGTATAGGCCACGGCTCTTCAAATCCAGTCCTGGAGTGTTGGCGTTCAGCAGATATTAGTTCCAACCCTAATCATTGACACTAAATATTTAAAGTGTCAACTTTTAGTGGTTTAATTTTGTTACTGCAAACTTCTGAGTTACTGCAATATGCTTATCTCAATATAGTTATACAAATGGTTCAAAATATCCCGAAAATGGTCACTGTACAATATGAAGAACGGGTTACAGAAGCTACTTATCTATCAAAATATTCTAATGACTTGAGATGGCTAGAATAAATCAAACCCCTAGCATCAGCCAAATGCCCTTATTCAATGGAAATACTCAAGAGTTTTCTGGTCAGTCAGTTAGTGACAATGTAATTCTAGAGATTTTAAATATTGGGGTTAGGGTTAGGGTTTTGATTATTGAAAGAGACTCAGTCCAGATGATGAAATAGCCCAAGTAAAAAAAAGTTAGAATGCAACATGCAGTGTTGGAAAATCAAAACTAAATTCAAAAATCACATTTGCAGCGGGAGTACAGAATGCACACAATGTACACAAATGTAACATTTTAATGCTAAACAGTTGAATTATTTTTTATCTGTTTGTTGAATCATGTCATGTCTTCAAGAAATCCATAACATTTAAATTATTATTATTTCTAATTATTAATTTCTAATTATTATTGTAGCATTTTATGATATTTTGATCAAAACACCACTTCAAAAATATAAATTTGTGTTGAAATAGAATCAGTATATTATTAACAATAATAAAAATAATGGATATAATTTCAATCTCAACAAGTGCAGAATAAACTTTTTTTGCTTTGTGCGATTTTGTTTGGGGTTTACAATTTTGTGTGTGTGCCTAAAGTTTAGCTTGCAGGATTACATTTTTATTCACACACTTTCATAAAAACAGTAATCAAATAATATAGCCTACAAATTAAATTAAACACGGATTTCTTAAAAAAAAAAAAAAATCATTACCACCATTTTTTTTTTTTTTAATCATTACCACTGAAACAATAGAGTGCCGAAGTGATGACGTCACTCTGTAGGACAACCCGGAAGCTAGCGGCGCGTGGGTTCCCTCGGTAAAAAAGCAATGCATTTTCCCCATAGACTTTTGGAAAATCGCAAAAAATAAGATCTGTGTTTAACAGAGGGTTGTGACCCTTACACGTTTTGTCTAGCAAGATAATATTTACAAGTTAATCCAAAATTTATATACATTTTGCAGCATATATAAAGATTTTAAAAAACACAATCAGACACAATAAAGTTAAAAAAAAAAAAAAACACAAGCAGGTTATAATTGTGTGTTCTGTCATAGATCAAAACGTGAAAATATTTAGAGGCTCTGTTCACCAGAGACCTTATTTCAGGAGATTTAGCAAAAACCCATTCAAAAAACCCATAGGCTTTAGAGCGAGGGAACTGTAATGCTAAAATGCAAATTCACTTCTGCGTTTTGGCCTACAGAGTGACGTCGTAACTTCGGTTGTTTCACCTTCTTTGATCATGATTGGTTAATCTGACTGTCATCTATGTAACTGGCCAATGACAACTGTGCGCGCCTTTTTACTGGTCAAGTTTGAAAAATCAAATACATTTGAGTTGATGACGACGGCTGCTCAGCAAGATTACTCGGTCTTTCAATTATTATTTTGAACTAATTTGCGATGTGACATGTAAACGAAGGAGAACAGAAGATGTGAACACACGACGCTCAGACTGGATGCGTGAGATCCTGCAATATTGGCGATCAGGTAAGAGAACATTTTTCTGTCTCCACTATCATTTTAGAAAAACTGAGATATAAACGTTTAGGTATTACATTCAAATAAGTGGATGAGAGCGTTAATATAGTTCATGGTTGAATATATAATGCAGATAAAGAAAACGTGTGTGAATGGAGTTCATTAACTACCCAGAAATGTTCTGTGTAACTTAACGTTAACGTCACATACGAGAGTTTTATAAACGGATAATGGACGTAGGCTACTAAGTTACCTGCAGTTGTGTTTGTAACGTTAACATAACGGGTAGCTAACCATATTTATCTGAAAGCAACGTTAGTGCTTCTGAGTAAGTGTATTTGATTGTGCTAAAGTGGAACTATTGCAAATATACTTTTGGTACACTTAATAGTGGTAACGTTATTACTTTTTTGGTCGTAATATATATATATATATAATGTTCATTGTGTAATAAAGTCTTCTTAGGTGATGTGTCAATAATTATGTTAATGAAATTGAAGTATAATTAGTATGAAATGTGTTCTAATATATTCTGGTAGAAGTTATTTATTTATTTACTAGGGAAGTAGAATCCAAATGAGTAAAGTGACTGATATATTGTGAAAAGCGCTATATAAATATGATTTGACTGATAAAACGGTCATTTACTCTCTGAAACACTGGAATCTACAGAAGAGTTGAGAAATGTTATTGGTCTAACGTTAAATCTCTTATATTTTAGTAGATGCCCGTTTCTAAATATTTTGACATCACCTCTTAAAAAACTGACAACTGCTAATCTTAAGAGATTTGTTTATTTTTTTATTATTTTATATATCAAGCACTGGAAGAAGATTTTTTGGGGAGAGCAGGCACCCAACAGAGAGACAAATCCACAACGGCATGATTATCAACTTCATTATGTAAGTCAGTTTTAACCATTGCTTCTAAACCTTACATTGGGATTAATACATTATGTTGTCAAAAGTATTATACTCATCATCAAAAGTCATATCCTCTACCAGTGACAAATCTGAGTAACTAATTATCTTTATGTCTTTCTTCCTCTAAAGTGACAAAGAAAGGAGAACATGTCACCATCATGAGCCTTTATTTAGTTCACGGAAGAACATCAAGGGAAAGACCCTCAGACGTGTCATAACAGGATAAATGTGGCTACAGGTAAAATTGTTTGATGGTTTGTTTGATTTTTGGAGTAGCAATTTCTTTTTTAAAGCTTCAATTTGATGTGATGTGACATGTGTCCCCAAACTCGGAATTTGTGCTCTTCATTTCATCCATTCAAGTGCACACACACACACACACAGCAGTGAGTATTAAACACACAACAGTGGAGACCGGGAGCTATTGGGCTATTTTTCATGTTCTCTGAATGTTTTATAATGGCAAATGTTGGTATGATATTGATACGTTTTGTTTTAATATTGTTAAGGACGCATCACCCCACCCCATCCCAGATTGACCAAGGATCCAGATGAGTACTGGCAATTTGGTGTGAGGATTGCTCTTTATCTACTACATTGTACTGCCACTTCCGGTATGGATTTATTAACCTTTTTGAGGTGTTTTGATTGTACTTAATTTAATACATTTTTCAAAATTAGATTTTACATAATTTAATTAGAGTATTTAGCCCATGATTTACTCACCCTCAAGCCATCCTTTGGGTGTATATTAAGCCCACGTTCTTCCTTTCAGACAAATACAATCAGAAGTTTTATTAAATAAACACCCTGACGCTTCCAAGTTTCGTAATGGCAGTGGATTGCAAC